ACGGATGTGGGAAGAGCCCTTCACACATGACAGGAGGGTGTCCCCTTGATTCCTGCCGCCCTGGTGTTTACCAGTGGGCGAAGGGGGAAACCGCTTCGGATGGACCGTCGCGGGATTACTCCCCCCCATGGCATACTAAGCTGCCTTGAGGGACTAGGATCCGCCGCGCCCCGTGGGGCTCATAACCTGACAAAGGACGATCGTGAGTATACACTAGAAGTCTATAAGAGCGCGAACTCACCGGGCAGTTAGTGTTGAAGGTTGAGTAATAGCTTGGTAGCTGATAGGCTGACGATGGTAGTCGTTCGGTGGAGAGAGAAGACTTAGATGATATTCATGGTAGCGACTGTATATATATAACAGGAGCGTGTGAAGTCACTACCGTATTCATAACTACTATATAGTCCAAATCCCACGGTAATGCAGGACGGCTACGTAAGCAGAACGTGGCCCTATGCAATGGACGCGGGGCCACACGAGTGCGTAAGCGCTTAAGGTACCACTGGGATACTAAGCGCCTGAATAGACGTATGAAGGTGATGTTTACTTGTAGACCTCTAGGAGGAACATCGCCGTACAGGAGGCTTCTGGATGAACCAATAAAGCCGTAAAGGGTCGAATACTAGACGTAAATCTGACATGGTGGGCGTAAAGCGATGCTATCATCAGGAAATCTGCACCGGCCTTATGTAGCAAAATTAAACTTTGCGACAACTTAGCAGCGCTTATGTCCGACGGTTACCTTATGCCAAAATCTCACAAGTCCAGGCGACGATACTAAGATCGAGCGAGGCTCAGAAGTTGATAGGGACTCGAAAAGCTAGCCAAGTTCATTTGCCTTTGCATAAGTGGTCTTTGATTCGTGTAAGCCCTCAGCACCACAAAAGAAGCGATAAGTTGCCGTGAACTATCATTTATCAAAGCTATGAAATAAAGGCTAAGCAATCTCGAAAGCGTGATGATCAATGAACTTGTTGAGATAGAAGCTTGCGAAAGTATCATACGACTCATAACACTTTAAGTCCTCTGGAATACGACTCGTACCGAATCGAGGAAGGAGGTGAGCAGCACGTACGAGACTGTCGATATGCACAACGTCCACCCGACGAGAGCCATTGCTATTGGCCATGGGCTGCACCACATACATGCCTGTATTTTCATCTCGCTCCTCCTCCGAGAACTCGAACCAATGGACGACGGCGCAAGGATAAACCGTCCCTTGGTACCAAAATGAAAATAGCGCGAGAACGCGCGCGATATCCATAGCTAGCGTTCCTTCGACATTTGCGTGGGTCATGAGGAAGGCACAATCGTAACGAGGCGCCTTGCCTCGCCATAGAGGGCAGGAGCGTATGCGCTCGCTCCTCATGCCCGACAGCCCGCAGATGTCGCTCGGGGCTTTGAAGACAGCACTTGCCGAATTGAAAACCTTGATGTGATCGGGGAGAGTCGGACATTCCCTGATAGGAACGGAGCGCAACGGCACGCGAGGGTCTCGGGGGTGGAGTTGTCCAAAGAGAAAGCGGCGCGTGAGTCGTTCAAGCTTAGGGACGCCTATTTCATCTGCGAGTTCCCTGATGCTCTTGGGCCGTCCTGGGCCTAGCAAAATGTTAGATAGACGCAGGATACTAAGTCCAAATTGACTTACTCGGGCGTGATGAAAGTGTAACCTCTGCGGAAAGGTCTGCTCCGTCGACAGCTTCCGAATCTTCCGGGCTCTCGTCAATAGACCGGGAATGGGGCTCTCTGAGAGAGACAGCCGTTCAGTGTGGTGGCTTCCCCCGCATTATCGAGAGCTGCTACAACTAATGGGGACATGAGATACAAGTCCTGAATGAGTGAGACAAAAACGTACGACCCTGCAAGGTTGCAAAGTCCTCTGTGAGAGGTCGAAGCATACCCCGCTCCTCGAAGCTGCGCCGGCATGCCTTCAGTTTATCCAACCGCTGGTTTGTAACCAGCATTTGTCCGAGCGCATTGAAGCAACTCGATCGGCGCCACGGCTCCTTCACAGCCTCAATATGCTTTGACTCCGTGATGGAGGAGCACAGACCATTTGGAGCACCAAATTGACGAACCAAGTGGAGGTAATGATACATGGAATGTTGGCGGGGCAGCGAAACCGTGGCTGCCACCCCGTTGTTGGTGAAGAAGTGCCGGTAATGATGAAAGCGGTCGAGGGCATCTTGAATCTCGATAAGGTCCTTGTCCGTGAGAGCATTGCGACGGACATGATAGCAGAATTCCAGAAACGCGCGAAACGTCCGTATGACATCGTCAGGAAGATGGCCTTCAAGTGCGGGGAGGTAAACCTAGAAGAAAATAAGTACTGACGACGTGCGTAAAGAACCAATGCCACACACCTTCATTAATGCCTTTGAATCGTCTCCTGTCCACTGCTTAAAATCACGACCCTCCGGAAAACGGCGAAGACCTGCAAAGGGAGCTGCGACTGCAATTCTAGGGACGAACATGTAAGCAAGAGTTCATGGCCGAAGGGCAAAGTAGCATACCGACGATCAATATCATCCATAATTTTCTTCGCCTCTGTCTTGCCGTGCTCCTGGACAAGGTACTTGCTCACCCACTCGACGAGGTGGTCCTTGAACGTTCCCTTTATGAGCTGGTGGAGGATGTCGGGCGCGAGAAGTTCATGAATGTCGGCGCGAGGAAAGTCACTCGTAAATGGCTATACGGATGTTAGTAGGATAATCGATGAATAGAAAAAGGGAGACTCACGACAACGTTAGCGATAATCCCATATGAATCCCATAACAGTGTCGGATGAAACCCTTCCACCAATGCGTCATCGTGCTCTTTACAACACAGCAGAATGTCGGGTGCGTCAAGTTCTTCGGGAAATGCAAGACAACTAAAAGGGCTGTCAGCTTCATGACCCGAAATGAAATGGGATGGATGCTTACCGGGGGCACCATCCTTGTACAACACCGGCGAGCAGAACCTGCTCGGGGTAATCTGCTATATAAGGCCCTATACCCCAGATCACTCGCCGGTGATAGCCATCGCCAAAACGTACAACCTCAGATTTTGACATGCCGGGCTTGAAGACGCTCAAGATCGTTGCGAGCGAGCAGTGATAAAGCTGACGTCGGAAGTGGCGAAACTGGGGGTCGGAATTATAAGTCTTGTTGGCTATGGAATAGAATTAGTTTCGCTTTGCTGGAATGAACCGGAGGAGCACTTACTTTTCGGAACAGACAAAAATCCGACAAGAGCGACAGCATCATGATGAGCTCGTCGTGTTTTGTTGTGTACATTTCCGAGGGAGATATAGAGAGGATAATACTCCGTGTGCCCGGTAGCAACAGACACAGTGGTCTTGTCGCTACCTAGGATGAATGGCACGAACATTGCTCCATGGTTGTCAGGGTCTTGAGCGATCTGATCCTATAGTAGCGAATACATTAATGAACAATATGCACAGAATTAAAAAATACGCACAGCCTGGTCCCAAGCCCAGTCGCCCGAGAAAAGGTTCTCATAATGACGAGCACCTGATTCGTCATAGTCACGGAATGGGGTAAGGTCGAGGTGTTCATGCAAGTCTGGCCGCGCAATCATCTGCTTGAGGACTTCGCGGGGGTCTCGAAACCAAACGTCATATTTGGCCTTCATCCATGGAGGGACATAACCACGTGGTCGAGGACCTTGATAGGTGACGTCGAATGATTGCCAGGGGATGTCGCCATTCTCGATGAAGTCAATAGTGCGATACATAGTCTTGTGGTCGCGGAAGGGTGCGCTTGAGCCAGCGGGCATTGAAGCACTCCAGATTTTGCAGAGTAAATCGATATGCCCAGCCGACGTCTGCGACTGGCGGTAGAGAAGGTCGACAGTTTCAAATTGAAGCTGGTTCTTGAAGGGGAAGTAGTCTGTTGGCAGGCGCTGAGGTGGTGGTAATGGTGGGGTATCAGACGGGAGGAACTCTCCATTGGGGGAGCATTTTCGCGCTGCTAGAGGCATTAGAAGTAATCATCACAAAAACGCGAGAAACGTACCAGTCAAAAACTTGTGAAAAACGCGTCGTACTGGCCCTAATTCCACAACCTCTCCAGCACTATTGTCAGCTTCATCTTCATCGTCTTCTTGTAGCTGCTCAGCTGAAAGGAGAGGTGAGGGTGGTGGTGGTGATGTACTTAAGAACGTCCGGAAGGATTGAGGAGATTGAGGGGATTGGGGACTGGAGACAGGCTGCTGTGGTGACGGAAATGGTGTTGGACTTGGAGCTGGAGATGGAAACTGACAGGGTGGTGGTGAAGAAGGTGGGAGCAGAGGAGAGAGGTTTGGTGGTGGAGGTGGCAGTGGGGAGCCTGGCGCCCTTGACTGAGGAAGGGTTGGGATGGAGCTTGGTGCCGGCTGGTGGTGTCGACGATGGCGGATGATATTCTGGTGGGCTGACCTCACATGTTGAGTGTAGCCAGATTCGTTTGCGAGGACACGTCGGCACCCTTTGTAAGGGCAAACCGGCATGGTAGAGGTGTGAATAAGAACACGGCGTAAGCTGTGACGTGTCTAGCAAGGCAAGTCGGGTTAGTGCAGGGCTCCTCAAAGTACCACCGAACGTTTCCCACCTTTACTTCCGGCTCTGAAAAATTTGCCACCGTTCTTTCCCGTACCGTTTTTCCAAACCAGCCTAGACATCCTTCCAGTCCCATTGCCAGCTGTACCCTCATGTCCGACCGACCCACTACACGCTCCAACACTCGTACTCGGACCAGCACTACCGAGAGTGAACCAACCACTCAAGAACAGGCTCAAGTTCTGCCGAAGAGAAAGACGCGCAAGGATCTCAAAGCAGAAGCTCAGCAGCGTGTTGAGGAGCAAACCAAGGATATAGAACAAGCCAAGGACAAGGTCGCCGCTATTGAAGCCAACATGCAGAAGAGGCAGAATGCCCCGCCGAAGCCAAAGCCGAAGCTGAGAACGTCGAAGATGCCATCTACACAGGCAACAACAACTGGTCAGCTGGGCGGAGGCTCGCTAGTAGTTGACAAGCCTACCTCTGCTTCAATTGTAGTGAGGCCTGCTAGTGTCGTTGAGCCTACCAGCGAAGCTCAGGCCAGTGATCTAGAAGGTGGGAGTTAGTAACTGTAGCCTCAGTCTACTCGTGTTGTTACTCACATTCGACAACTGCAGTTGGCCGTGGACCGAAGGGAAGGAAGACAAGAGATGAGCAAACAGCGATGCGTAAGGACATCGAAACTAGACGCAAACAGCACACCATGGAGAACGAGGCAGCCCTCCATCAGAAGCCAACCAAGAATGGCAACGTGAAAGCCAATGCTATGTGAGTTCCTCGTCGTGCCTTTCTCACCAACTGCCATTATCATTCACGATTGTCCTTCTGTCATGCTCCTGCAACTTTCCGAACTCACTCTACATTGGCGTGACCTCGCGTTGGAATATTACAGCCAACCGAAGACCTTCCAGCTCAAGACCATTTCCCGTGTCTCAAGCTGGACTGCACGTGTCCCCACTGATGCTCGGTCTGGGCTCACCACCGAGTCTTCTTGTCCTTGTTCTGTGGTCTCGACTTCAAGCAGATCAGCCCTCACAGCTGCCACTTCAATTTCATCATCGTCTTCTAAATCCGCCGCATCAGAATCTGTTCAAGTCTCCGTTGCAGACCCAAACACCGCCCAGAACAAGGTAGCAACGACACCGAGGAGGTTCCCAGCCTTCGCGATGATGTTGACGCTGGCATCATCGCGCATGAGCGAGATTTTATCGGAGTTCAGAACCGTCGCATCCAAGAGGTGCGTTATTGAATTATGGTATTAATTTACCTGTTATCTTACTCAGGTTTAGTGCTCTGTCTCCTCCATCAGGCGCCAATCCTCGAATGAAGACCTTGTCCCTACATCCACACAGGCTCAGGCTACTCCGCCCGAAAACCAGCCCGTTTCCCTCAAGAGGAGCCTCACCGAGGCACTTGCCTCTGAAGATGAAAATGATGAGGTTCGTGCATTTCCATTTCGAGAGCCATTACTAACCTTCTGCAGACCCTCTCAAAGGAGCGGCCATATTTTGAGGAGTCCCCTTTTGTCCCAGAGGATGCTGGCGATAGGACCATCACCAAAGAAGCCGTGGACCCCTCCGAGAACCAGGACAACAACGTAAACAGCGCCATGGATGAAGACATTGGCCCCAAGGGGTTGGAGGGAAACGAAGATGAAGAAATGGACCAGTGCGGACCTGACGGTGGTGAGCAGGACGGGCTCCAAGAGACAGTCACACTGGCAGCCAGCCAGTCGGAGCTCAACAACGGCGCGATGGACGAGCAAAGCCACGACCAGGGCGGCGATCCGGATGACGCAATGGAAGCTGAGCTAGAGGACCAGAGTACAACTTTATCTTCCCGCGACGAAGCCCCGGGTATGCGTACATCTGACAGCCTCCCACACACGACTCAGACGGTATGTGATTTACTCCTTTTTTCTCTCAGATTTTGATTGTTGCTTCTCAGATGCACGCGAAGGCATCAACGACGCAGGTCCGTCCCCAGAAGCGCACAAAGCACACGCCAAAGCCCATCAGCTCCACCACCCTGCCACATATCCAACAGTTATCCTCTTGTCGACCGGCTTCCCACCAAGTGGCCAGCGCACCGGCTTCTTCGGGTGCCGCCGACACTGTCAAAGTCAACGCACCCATCAAGGGCAAGAAGTACTGCATGGACGACCTGCCACCCGGTGCTCGCAACGAACAAAAATTCTCAGGCAACTTCATTCCAACCGTCTGCATGTACTACGGTGCCCAAGATGCCGACCTTGTTTGGAAGGACGATGGACTCGCGGAGTTGGTGAAGAATATCTGGCGCGTGGTATATGGTTATGCCATTCCTCCCGAGTACCTTCCAGCGGTCGTGAGTCTCGTACGTATCCTATTTCGTCTCACATGAATTTTCCTGATGCTTTCCGGGATAGACTGTTGACCGCCTATACCTATGGCGCAATAACTTCAGCTCTACCGCTGTCTCCGCTCTCCTTTTTGTCTTCTCGGGCAGTGATGTCACCGAGGAGGAGGAGCGCCTCGCCTTATCTCAGCAGCTCCACACCCAGAATGCCTTTATTTACGAGAAGTTCAAGGATGGGCAGCCCTTCGGGACATTTCTGGGTTCGTATTTCCTCATGGTGCTCTCTTGTCATTTCCAAGCCATTCAGGGCTTTGTTCGGGTTCCCGGTTTGGCACATGTGCATGAGCCGGATTATGTTCCGTCTGGAGCTGTCGCATTGGCTGCTGCAGCTGTAGGTCTCACGTTTTACCGGTCCGAATTGTTACTAACTATACTTAGTGCTGCCGAGCACTTGATATGAACATACAGGGCAAGCTTGGGAACGTTGGCGGTGCACTGGAACGCACCATTCGCGCGGGATGCTCTGCCAACAGCGAGGGGTTCGCTAAGGCGAAGAAATTCATCGCGCAAGCCAATGCCAGTACCAAGGGGCCGAAGAAGCCGAAGAAGGGCAAAGCGAAGAGGACCAAGGGCAAGGAGAGGCAGCCCATCGGCAGCAATGCCAGCGACAACGATGACGTGGCCGAGGCTCAACCTCAAGTCACTGCCTCCGAGACTCCCGCTGCGCCCTCTCCCCCCACCCCGCTTCCCTTCTCGAAAGACCACTACGGCAAACTGGTCAAGAAGTTCTACAAGTACGCTCTCGACATGGGCGCGGAACGCATCATCGAGGCGTTCACCGCATCTGGCGAGGTCATCCAGCGCGACGATTCGGAAAGCGAGGATTTAGATGTCGACGACGCCGAGGGATCGTCCGACGACAATTTCCTCGTGCTCAATTGTTCGTATTGTCTTTCTATAGTCTTGAACGCATGCTCACGTACGGTTTGAGCAGGATGCATGAGCCCTTCCGCACGCGATCGCTTCCTTGAACCTCTATCATACTTCTTATCTGCATACTTTCTCTTCTTTTAATACAGCTTATTGTACCTTTGCAACTCCTCGACTCCCTTATTGCGCCTTACGACTTATATAGATGTTTCTAGTAGCACCCAATGATACTAATGGTTAGACTTACTACGCCTTTTAATGCATCTTTTCCCCTTTCCGGAATGCGTGATGATGAGGAAGGTTGCAATAAGATCATCCTAGTTTGCTCACAAGTATGTCTAAGTTCCTCATAAGATCACTCCCGCCAGGGGAATCAGCTGCCCCCTATCTCATTTGCAGCATAAATAAGTTTGAGGTTCATTCTGGAAAGCGACGGAAAAGAGGGAGGAAAGCGTACATGCGTCTTATTTCAAGTAGGTTCAACTCAGACCACAAGTATGTATCAGCTTATTAGCCTTCGTACTTATTCGGTACCTTTCGAGCCGCGTCTCGCGGTAAGTTGCCAGATAAGGAAGGTGCAGAAATCCTGATGATGTAGCTCCACAAACATTGTGATCATGCAGATGGGTACAGGACTTCTGATGACTTTGAGTACACAGCATGTTGGAGATTCATCAGTAGTATAGAACCAAACTGGGAGAGCTTTGTACAGTACAAAACGTGACACAGTATATGACTTCATCGGCCCGTATTTTCTCTGATACTGTCCTTAGCTAGCTCGGGAGCAGGGCTCTGTATCTTCTACATAGGGTTTAGGGGGGACAAGCGAACTATTGGTGATAAAAACATCTTGAAAGATGCGCCACTAGCAAATATTTGATGTTGACGGCGGGTGTAATAAATCATTGGGCGTAGTCCCAACGAATGACCTTGATCATTCTTTGATTGCAACGCCTGCGCTTGCGTTCCATTCCAGTGTCCGATTATTTTCCTGATCAAAGTCGCCATTTCAGATTGCCGCTTCAGGGCACACCAACTTAACGCAGTTTTGGAACATGATGGAAAAGCTCCATGGAAATGACAGGAACACACGCCACAAGCGCTTCACGGTAAAAAGCAAGCAGTGGTAAACAGAACACGGGAACGGTTACGTCGGACAATATGACGAAGTGATGCTACGTATCAGAGATGTTACGGGAGCACTCCTGATGCTCCGGAGGTGGCACACCGAAATTTTAGGCACATGTCCTTCGTTGTACGTGGCTTGCACCTCTTTCTACCGGCAGGTGTAGATTAGACAGAGCCGTATCAGCATACTTTATTACATAGTATTTTATCCTGACCGTTTGGCGATGTGCTTTGCTATGAGGCAAAGGGTTCATTGGCTAAAGTAATAACGCTTAGCGTGTATTCAAAACCCAGGAGCACAGTATGACTAGCGACTCGGACCAAACCCGCCCGCTCCTCGATACGTCCACGCAACCGCCCGCTTCACCCCAACGTTCGGAAACCTTGAGCTCCCCCTAGCTGGGAATGAAATGCCTGCCGCGGTACGTACAACCTTCTCAATCTCATGACATTCCTATTTTCCTCTTTTCCCTTCTATTTCTTCTTCTCGCAGCGACGCACCCTTTCCTGTACAAAGAACCCAACGAAGAACGCCCACAGTCAGAATCTATTTACCATACGATTACTTATATAACATCTATCGCTCAATGCCGTCGTATACCACCACGAAGCCCTCACGTCCACACTCTTCGCGCGTAGATTAGACACCCCGGCCACCAGCGTCGAAGGCGGCTCTTCATTTTCAGTTCTCTACATTACGCTCTTCGCTTCCATGCAACAGTCTTTTACCACTACGTTGTATTCAAATATCGTCTACCATAGGGCACAACCCCCGAGGACAACAAAGGTATAGAGGTCCACAAGGCTCACGGTGTATACAATTACAATGCGGTCATCCACGAGTGCGGCTAGTGCTTATAATATACGACATGTCAGTGTAGTTTCCCGGCTTCTGAGTGGGTTTATCTTACCACTTCACTCAGTCACATTGTCCAACGACCCATCGGACGAACTGTAGTGACCAGAGGATGGATGATATAATGCAAAACACGCCAAGTTCAGTATATTATACACTTGGCTATAGCTAGGGTGGGGTGATAAGTGATAAATGATAAATGATAAGTAACAAAGCAAGTTCTATCTAAGTTGTATGCGAATTAACCCGAATGTACAGTAGTAGATCGATAGCAATAACCGCGTGGAACAGCGTCAGACTTCAAGATTAGAAGTCCCCGCCGTCGTCCCCTCCGCCGCGCCTCTGCATGCGCCCCCCGGTCGCGCTGTTCGCGCCGTACGCGCCGCGCACATCGAACCGCCGCGTGCGCCCGTCGCCTGCGTACCGGTCCTTCACCTCGTCGCGCCGCGGGGCGCTGCCGCCACCGCTATAAGGCGCACGCGAGGCGTTGCCGCCGCCGCCGCTGTAAGGCGCACGCGAGGCATTACCACCGCCGCCGCTGTAGGGTGCACGTGGCGGCCGGCTGCTGTTGCCATATCGCTCGCGGCTCGTATTCGTGTTCGCTGAGCCGTAGCGCTCGCCGCGGTACGACGAGGGGTCGTCGCGCAGGCGCATCCTGTCGTCGCTGCCGCTGTCGTTCTGGTACCCGTATCCGTCCCTGTCCCTGTTCCCGCCCCGGGAAGAGGAGTACGGCGCGATCTCGGCGTCCTGGTGGCGCGGTCCCTCGGACTCGCGCCCGTCGCGGATGGCCTGTCGGCCGCGGCCCATCCAGTGCGGGGGCTTCTTGTCGCCGCCGCCGCCGTAGCCACCGCTGGTGCTGCTACTGCCGAATCTGCTGCCGCCCTTGCGCGCCTTTGACCTTGAATCGTCGGACGAGTTGAAATGCTTCGTGCGTCCATCGGAGAAGCCCACGCGCTGGAGGAACGCCTCAGAGACGAACGGCGGCGCCTCGAGCCCGCCGGCGGCGACGGCCCAGTCCTTGAGGCCCTCGACGACGTTGCCCTTCTGCACGCGGAGCTCGTGCGACTTGGGCACGTAGTACCCAAGGAGCGATGCGAACGCCTCGCGCGCATCCTGCGGGTCCGCGTCCGCCTGTGCGCGCGCGATGCGCGTGAGCAGGTTCTCGCGCTCGATGCGCGGGTGCGCTGCGGCCGGGTACGCTTGGGGCGCGAGGCGGCCGTGCGGCTCGCGCTCCCCGCCTCGCTCCTTCCTGATGTACTGCTGCGGTCTACCGGCCTTGACGTGTCCAAAGAACTTGGCGGCCGTGTCCGGATCGTCGTCGAACGCGCGCGCCATGTCCTCGACCTGCCGCGCCATCTCGGCGCTCGTCACGGGGCGCATGGGCACCTCGGTGAGCTGCCATGTTACGAAGCCGATTTCCCAGGGGAGGAGCACGAGGTCGCCGCGGCCGACGACGCCCTCAGCGGCGCCTTGTCGGCCTGTGCGCCCGACGCGGTGCACGTACTGGTCCGGCGAGCCGGGCATGCCGACCTGCACGACGCGCGTGACGCCGGGGTAGTCGACGCCGCGCGCAGAGACGTCAGATGTGATGAGGACGGAGGCGCCGGACTTGTCCGAGCGGAAGAGGTCCGAGGTCTTGGAGCGCTCGCGCTGCTGGAGCTTGCTGTGGATCTCGTACACGTTCGTGCGCTCGCCGGCGGGGAGCACGTCCTTGGCGATCCGGCGGACGGTGGACGCGAAGAGCTGCGTCATCTTCGTCGTGGGCAGGAACACGATGGTCTTGCTGCGGCCCGGGTGCGTGAGCTGGTCGTGCGCGAGCACGCGCATGAGATGCGGGATCTGCTCGGCGGCGCTGGGGAGCACGGTGTGGTACTGCGGGACGTGCGCGTGCACGGGCGAGTCCGAGGCGGGGACGACGTCGATGAACTTGTGGTCGGGCTTGAGGAAGTTTCGTGCGACCTGGCGGACACCACGGGAAATGGTCGCGCTGAACAGGAGGGTCTGTCGCTCGGAGGGGGGAGCAAGCGCGGAGATAATGGCGTCGAGGTCGTCGCGGAAACCCATGTCGAGGAGGGTATCGGCTTCGTCGAGGATGAGCTACAGTAAATGCAAGTGAGCGAAGGAGTGGCTACAGAGGATAGATGACGCACCATCTTGCACTTCTCAATCCCATGCTTGAAATCCGGCTCGTTCTCGATGAGATCGCGCAGCCGTCCAGGAGTGCCGACGACGATATCCCGTCTGCCCTTCATCCAGTCGCGCATCTGCATCCGCTTGCTGCCGCCACCATAGAACAACCTGACCTCGAAGTCCTTGTGGTGCTGGGTGAGCCTCAGCGCCGTGTTCGCGATCTGCGTTGCCAGTTCGCGCGTGGGCGAGATGATGAGGGCGCCCGCGTGCTCGCGCGTGAACTGTCTGCGCACGCGACCAGCGAGGTGCTTCTCGGTGACAAAGCCGGCGTCGCGCACGGCCTGCTTGGCGTGGTGCTCGATTGCGTTGAGGCGGTGTTCGATGGCGGGAATGACGAAAGCAAAGGTCTTGCCGGTACCGGTTTTGGCGCGCGCGAGGATGTCGCAGGCGCCGTCGTTGTCCGAGTCCGAGTGGTTATGTGCCGATGGGGTGAGTTGCCGTTCCATTTCCTCTTCGCTGTCCTCTACCTCGACTGCGTCCTTGTCCTGGGGCTGGGTGAGCTTTGGAGAGCGGACGAGGCCGGGGAGGAGGGAGAGAACGGCGTCTTGGATGGGGGTCATGTGTTCGAGGGCGAAGGGTTTAACCGTGAGTGCTTTGAGGGTCGGGTAGGAGAGGCGACCTTTGAGTGAGCGGAAGGTTGGCTTTTCCTCTGCGAGAAGCTCCTCCTTGGAGAGAACAGGCAACGATGAGGACGAGTCCGCATCAGCTTGAGACTCTGCCGGGGGAGAGGAAGAGGAAGATAAGGCGCCCTCTGGCTCGTTTTCAGAGACGGCGTCGACATCTTCCTCCACAGCAGGAGCGAGCTTGGGTGGTGCCTCTGCAGCTGCAGTGGCTGAAGACTGGTGGCGACGCGATGAAAGAGACCCTACGTCTTTGCAGAAAATGTCAGCTCGCGGAAGTTTTTCAAGTTCGCCGAACGTACCAGGACGAGATGGGTTGTGTCTGGCCAATGAGTGGAGGGTGCGGTGTGCTGGACATCGCAAGGACGTCCTGCACGCACGCAGAAAAAGAAAAGAGGACATGCGATGGCCTCTTCAACAAGTGAACCAAGCAAAATCCCGACAAAAGTGTCCCAGTTTCTCGACGAAGAAAAAGGTAAGCAGTCTAAAACTTACGCGTGTCCTATAAAAGCAATTTGCCTCCCGTGACTCTGAGCGCGCTTTAGGCAACTTGTGCCCACGGTCTCATTTAATTCCCACGAGTACATGCCGGCTCCGTCCCGACAAGTCAGATCAGCGTCATCGAATCGGAAGGAGATCGCTGACAAAATCCCCAGTGCCCTTGCAGAAAACATTTCTGTCACATTCTCCTCCGTTTTCTCCTTAATATTGGGTCAAGGCGACGATGGTCAAAGGCCAGAAATCGTCGGCCAGTTCTGGCACACGCAAAAAGGTTGCACGCAAACAGGCCACAAAGTCTCAACCTGCAGACGCGCATCCACCACCCGCCCAGCCCAAGGAGAAGAAACCCAAGGGCAAGCAGGCAAAGGCACTCGCAAAGGCTGAGCCCAAGAAGAAGGTCTATGTTCCTCCTCCAAAACCCGTCAAGCCCCAGCCAGATCCGCTCGATGCCCACGGCATTGCCCACCAGCTACCCCCTGAGCTCGTCGTTGTCCTCAGGGCACTGGGCAAGAAGGATCCGGTCACAAAGGCCAAGGCCCTTGATGAGCTCAACGCAAGGTGGATTGACCAGGCAGCGAAGGAGACTGCTGGGGATAACGGCGAGGGCGAGGTTGCGTATGCGCTCGTAGCGATGATGCCTGTCTGGGTACGTCGTCACTTCGTCACCCAGTATCATTGTTCTCAAACCACAACAGTTCCACCGCCTTCCAGTCCTCTTCACCCACCCCGCCCGGCGCATCCGCCTCCTCGCAGCCTCAGTCCACGCTGCCCTGCTCTCGTGCTCGCCCGCCGTGCGCACCGCCGCCTTCGCGCACCTCGCCGACTCCGCAGACCCGGCCAGCACCGAAGCATCGCTCGGCACATGGCTCCTGCTCGCGCACGATCTCGACCGCGTCGTCGTCACACAGGCCGAGCGGTCCTGGCGCGCGTTCGTCTCCTATGCGCCTCCATCTGATCCTCAACACGCGTCCTCTTCAAAGCTGCAAATAACCCCTGATACCTTACGGAGCATCACAGCGTTCACCGAACGCGTTCTCCTGGACCCTCTATCTGTACACGCCGCGCTCAACCCAGCACCACTAGAGGCGCTACCGCCACCACCTGCTGCACGCGGAGGAAAGGGAGGCAAAGGCGCAACACGCCCGCCGCCGCCGCAGGCGTCCAGATCGAAGGAAACCGTCGACAGGCCAAAAGCAGAGGGCGACGAGGAACAGGACGCGGATAAGAGCGCGAGACTGCGGTACGCGGCGCTCGGCGCGCTGCGCTGGATTCTCGGTGCGTTGCGCAACGTCATCATCTTCTCTCTTCACTCAATCCTATTCGACTCTGACTCCCGTGTGTACATAAATACGCTTGCTACACAGACGCACGCAAGGCGCTCGGCCTCCCCCTCTCCGAGCTCTACCCGATCCTGCGCAACACCGCGCTCTGGAGCGCACTGCACCCCGCCGCCCGCGCGCCGTTTGCGTCTGGCGACGATGACCGTCACCAGAAGCAGGACGGGTTCGGACTCGGGCAGCCGCAAGTCCGTGTGGCAGCGTGGACGCTCGTGCTCTGTCTTCTCCAACTGCATGGCGTAAGGTCCTCTGTGTCCAGGTCTGACAACAAACACGATGCGAAAGAGGATGGAGACGGAGACGGAGATAACGTGGAAGGAGTCGAGGAGGCGCAAGCCCCGTCAAGTTCCACGCCAGAGAAAAAGGCAGAGGAGAAGGTAGAAGAAGAGCGCGGTTTGGAGCCGCTGCTGAGCGTCCTGGGCCCGGCGGTGCTCCGTTCTGCGTGGGTCGAGACGGATCCGGGTGTGCGGAGCGCGATTACGAGGCCGGTGTTGATATTCTTGAAAGGTGCGTTTATATCAATGGAACGCACGAGTTTATTGTGACGCTAATATCATCTCATTTCACTGACGCGGTTGACTGCTTGATTTTGCAGAGTATCCGAACGCGTGGTTGGTCGACGCCGAGGCTGCCGCCGCTGCGGGCGTCTCTCACGACGGTGACAGAGAAGACGAAGAGAAAGGCGAACTTGAAGGAGGAGACGAGGACGAGGACGAGGGCACGGAGGATGACGGCGACGAGAGTGGTGAGGAGAACGATGGCGAAGCTCTCGCAGCGACGACCTCCGTGAAACACCCCCTCGCACCAACAAGACGCCAGCTCCCGTCCCCGGCATACACCGACTTCCTCTCCTACCTCGCCCTCGGCTGCGCCGGCTCCCCAATCGAAGGGTACCCCTCGGTGCTCATCGTCCTGTCTACCATCCCTTCCTCTATCATCACCGCCTCCGCCTCCGCCTCCGCTGCACCCACACCCGCGCCTCCACCCCCCGATACCTCCGCCCCATCACCACCATCATCATCATCATCATCACCGAAACCAAGCTCATACGCAGACGCCCTGCACACGCTCTTCGCCGCCTTCTGGGCCGCCATCGACGGGCGCGCGCTCAGCATGAGCGCCGCGGACCGAAAGGGCCCCGCGAGAGCGTTTCTGGGCGCGGTGTTGGAGTGTTTGGTGTTCATGGTGCAGCGCGTGCTGCGTTCCTATCCTTCGCCTGGTTCTGCCTCTCCTGCTCCTGGTGTTGCCGCAAGCGCGGAGCACGTCGAGACAGAGCAGGGGGAGGCCAGCGTGGCGCCCAAGTCCGAACTCGAACCCGAACCCGAGCCCGAGTTTGTGGACCTACCGCGATTGGTAGAGGAGCAGTTCGCGCGCGTGTGGGACGCGCTGTTCGAGTCGCGCAGGCTGCGGGTGGACGCTGTTGACGCGGGGACGCTCGTGCGCGGGGCGCTGGGCGCGTTCGAGAGGCTCGATGCCGCCGCCGCCGATCCCTCCAAGCTGCCGTCGGGAGAGAAGACGAGATCGCTATTCGACGCCGCGTTTGCGCCCCTTGCGCGCGGTGCGCAGGCGCAGACGCCCGGGGCGAGGGAGCTCGCGCCGGCGTTTTTGCGCGTGCTGATGCTGCGTGCCGAGGGCTCGTCGTCTTCGGATGGGGAGTCGAGAACGCACGGCGCGGTGCGTGCGCTGGTTGCGGAGGCTGTGGGTGCGTGTTTGGGCGCGTGCGAGGATGTTCTTGCGCGTGAGCGGCAGGGAGACGTGGACGAAAAAGAGAGGGAGAAGGAGGTCGCAGAGAAGGTGGGCGCGCTCGCGCGCTGGCTGGATGCGTTTGGCGCGGGCTTGTTTGAGCATGGGGAGTTTTTCGTGGTGCGTTGCTTTTTCTTTATTTTCCTTACTCCTACCAACATTCATTCGCCCCGTGACGCTGACGCGCGAATTTATTCATTAATGTGCAGCGCGCAGACGACCTCGCAATCACCCACGCCCCGCTCCTCCTCTCCACCTGCCCCCGTTTCGCGCTCGCGTATCTCTCCCTCCGGGGCACCTCGGACCGTGCCCGCGGGCTCGAGATGTGGCACGCGCTCCTCGCCGGCGTGGCCGTTGCGGATAATCCGGGTGTGCAGAGGAAGCAGCTGGAGATGCTGCTCGACGCGGACGAGAACGGCGGTGTTCCGGCGTACGTCGCGCCTGATCCTGAAGAGGATGGGCTGGATAGGGTGGTCGAGGGGATGCTGGACCGGTGTATCAGCGGTGGCGGTGGGGGCGAAGGAATTCGGGCGGGAGACAGGGCGGTGGTGAGGAGGGTGTTGGCGAGGCCTGGTGCGTATTTTGATCTTTCTTGCTTTCTACTCTCTACCCGTGTTTATGGTGTAGAGGCTAAGTACACGAATTCGGTTGGCTAACTGGCGGTTTCAATTATTGTAGCGCACTTCCTTTCTGCCCGCGGCACCGACATGCTCACGCACGTTCTCGCGTCTGCGCTCGCCGCGCAGGTCGAGAGCGCGCTGTACGAGCCCGAATTTACGCCCGCGAACCTGGACGTACTGCTCGACTTTGTCTCCGTCGTGCTCGCCCGCCGGCCGCCTTCGGCGCAGGCGCCGTCAGCCGCGGCAGCAGACAGTGATAACGACGCAGGGACGGCGGAGACGCTCCTCCCTGCCGTGTTTATCTGCGCGTACCTTCTCCCGCGCGCGTTCCCTGCGCTCGCGGGCGACGTGGAGGTTGCGAAGGCGGTGTGGACCGCGTGGGTTGCCAGCGAGGGTGTACGAGGTGATGTTACGGAGGCGGTGGTGGGTATTGTGAAGGGTAAGCTTGCGAATGTGGTGATGGACTGTGAGGCCAGGGCGAGGTGCGTTTATGGTTCTCGTTCCCCTTGTACTTCCGTGACTGATTGATGATGTTAAATGTCTCGCATTTGACGCTTGACACGAATCAGACCGGAAGACGTCCTCGCCCTCGCCGCGTCCCGCCCACCTGGCCTCGCACTCGACGTGCTCGATGACCTCTTTCCGTCGCGCTCTGAGCTGGAGGGTATGCTAGCTTCCCTACCTGCACACGCGGCAGACCCGAGCATCGCGCTCCTCGAGCCTGCGATTCTCCCACCTGGACCATACTCTGAGTCCGGTGAGCCTCCCTCGCCTACGCAGGGGGCGTCGGTGGACAACCGGGGCTACGGCCCCTACGCGCGCGTTGTGTCCGCGCTGCTCACGCACGCACTGGACGACCGCAGGCGGATCGCGAACGAGGAGACGTGGGTGCTCCCGCACGCGCTGAGGCTCAGCGTGCTCGTGCAGGACTTCATCCGTGTCCCAGGCGCCGGAGGCGGAACCGTGTTCGGGCCGGAGGCGCTATACAGCGATGTGGAGCTGCTGGTTGCGCGTGCGCAGACGCTCGCTACGTATGTGTTTGCTATGGCTGCTTCTGCGGATTCAGACGAGGGCGATGGGGTGAGACATGTGCTTATTACGAAGGCGTGTCTTCCCCCGGCCGCTGGTGCCAGCGCTTCGAAAGGTGCTAGCGCAAGCGCAACACTGAGCGCTGTGGAGCAAATGCTCGTCGACGTGGTCGAATGCGCGAAAGCCAAAGATGAAGTAAGGGAATCGAGGGTGCTCTATGCGCTCTTGCAGCACCTGTTTGCGGATGCGGACACGAGCGATGCGGAGCATTGGTTGTTGCTGGCGAGGAGACTCGAGAAGACAGGTACACTTACTTGGCTTAATTAACATTGTCCCTTCAGATCTCTGACCTTGAACTTGCCAGCACCTCAAACGGCGCTGACCATCGTCGCCGCGCTCACTACGCACGCACCCGAGCCTGCACGGCTCGACCGATACCGCAACGAACTTGCCGCGGACGCACTGGGCATCAAGCCCGCGCAGGCGGCCACGAGCGGGCTGCTGCTCCTCCGCCGGCTAGTCGCGACGGCTCCAGATCCAGAGAGCGACGTCGTATTTTTGCCGCAACAACGCGCTGTGAACCTGATGCGTGTGTGTCAGGCGTGGATCGCTGGCGCTGGCGATGATGACGACGAGGAAGAGGACGAGGACGAGGATGAAGGGGGGTTGGAGGGCGTGGAAAGTGTGATGACGCTGCTGTTCTACCACCTCGCGCCGATCGTGCAGAATGTGGCTGGCGCACATTGGGATCTCGTGTGGGATGTTGTTGAGAATAACCTTGAGGTGGGTGTTCGCATTCATGAATTTAGATGTTTATGTGCCTAATTGCGGATGCTACACGTAGAATTGCTCCTTTGACGATGATGCAACGCTCACGACGCTGGGACGCTCGCTGCGATTGATCATCCTGATCGAGGACCTCGTCAAGACGAACAAGTCGCTTAAGGCGGTATGGGCGGAACGACGGTCGGCTATCCTGTCGCTCGTCAAAGACCTAGTCTCTGCGAAGTCCTCGAACGGAAGCAACAATGCAGGCGTCTCGGCGCCGCGCTCGCTGTGCCGCGAGTTGGCTGTATCGATCGTGCAAGACATGCCGAGCGAGCTCGTCAACGAGAACACGCTCTCAGAGGTATACACCCCCTACAAAACGTCTTCCAGTATGTATGTTTTGCTAATGTCACTCTGCAATGTAGATGTGTCACTTCCTCTCGGACCCGTCCGCTGAGGTGCAGAAGATGAGCTACCGCCTCCTGCACGAGGCCACGCGGAAGCGCACAGAGCATCTCGTCGTCGAGGCGGCCGTCGACACCGAGAACAAGGTCAAGATAGGGCTCCCCGACGAGCTCGTCGTGATCCTGCATCAGACGCTGGACCTCGGCGACGTCGAGCAGGATGCGTCTGAGAGTGCAGGGATACAGACGCACAGGTTTGATGTGTTTGGGCATATGCTTGGGTGGATGGTCGCGTTTGATTTGTTTGAAGGAGCAGTGCGTGATCATTCATGAGTTGACGTGGGTTGTGCTGATGTTGTGGTTTTCTGATGGTTTGTAGTCGCTGAAGGTTAGAACAGGATACGTCCAGCATCTGCGAAGCCTCGGAGTCGTGGGCAAGAACTTCATCCCGCACATCTTCGAGGTTCTGAACCTGTTCGATGGACGGCGAAAGCCGTTCAAACTGTCCATATGGGAGGTGGACGGGTATCACCTCGACTGTGAGTGTTTGACCCTGTCATTCCTTCGACATTCTAGTTGACGTTGGACTACGATGCCAGATTACGACCCCGACGACTTCCTCTCGATCCGACTCTTCGCCGCGCACCTGTATCACCGTGCACTACTCACGATCCCCGTACTCGTGCGCTCCTGGATCTCAGACTGCACCGACAAACAGCTACTCTCACGTGTACTCGACTTTACCTCGTCCTTCTTCTCCCCAGGCATCATCCGCGCCGAGCTCGCCCTCGTCCGCCAGGCACTCATCAGCGCCGGCGGAGACAGCGACGGGACGGCGCTCGACGACGGCGAGAACGTGGCGATCCGGGTGTCGAACGTGGCGGGCGAGGCGACGGCGAGCTACACGATCGACGACCAGGTGGTCGAGTTTGCGGTGCGCATGCCGCAGGACTGGCCGCTGCACCGGCTCACGATCCGGGACACGAGGATGCCGGGCGTGAGCGAGGAGCGGTGGAGGGCGTGGGTGCTTGGCGTGCAGCAGACGGTGTGGCAGCAGGTGAGGCTTTTCTTTTCTTTGCTTTTTTCACTTGGGGGTTCAGGGATTATTGGGCGGATATGGTTGGCGCTGTGCGTGAGAGGCTGTTTGGTCGATTGGATTTCCTTTTCTCGACTCGTGGTTGGTCGAACGAGGGGTTACGGGTATCTTACGCTCTCATTTGCTCGCACATCTGTGTGGAGCTTTTCAGCCACCCGGCTCAGAACCGAGCTTGTTGGCTCGGGGCCGAGGAGCGAATCGCATATTCTCTCTTGGGATCGGCTAACCGGTTCACCTTGGACGCACGCTAACCGGGCTTCATCTGTCTAGAATGGCCATATTGTCGACGGCCTGAGCATGTTTACCAAGAACGTGAAGCTGCACTTCGCTGGCCTCGTCGAATGCGCGATCTGCTATTCGTGAGTTGTCCAATCATCATCCTTATTTTCCATCTTCTCCTTGTCAAAATTCCCTCCGCTGCCGCCATCGCCCTTGGCGTTCCCGGGACCGCGAGAGTATGCATTGCATAGCTTCGCGGGACGAGACGTCTTCTCTTTTCCTCTTTCCTCCCCATCCTCCGTCTCCCGTGCTGCGTCATGGGACAGCGCCAAGCAGAGCTCATGAGAGCCTCGCGGAGATTTCGCCAGCCATCGCGGACCCTCAGACTCGTCGCTGACCTCTTATGCCTTGCCTGTTTGCTTTTCCGCGAACACGCCCACAGGATCATATGCGCCATCGACGGAAGCATACCCGCGAAGCCCTGCCGGACGTGCAAGAACCGGTTCCACGCCGCGTGTTTGTACAAGGTGCGCTTTGTTCCTCGTCAATAGCCATAATCGTCAAAACAGTTTTGCTGATGCCTGTACAGTGGTTCGAGTCGAGTCACGCGTCGAGTTGTCCGCTGTGTCGCTCGGATATTCTCTAGATCGCACCAAGATGCGACAAGGTAAACTTGCGATAGACGAAGCAAGACGTGTAGAAGCATTGGAAGCTGTATAGATCCCTTTTTCTTGTATCCCTATCACCTAGCATCCTAGGACTCTCATCGATCTTCACCCCACACGCTCTGGTCAGCGGTCGAAGCGCACTCCCACCCCGCGTCCCTGCAATTCATTCTTGCACTTCCATCAGGGATCCGAACGTCCAAGTTCTAGCGTACGAAGCACCCGCGAACGTTCACGCTATTTTTGCGAGTGCTAAGCCGCGGAGCTTGAAATGAGCTCCACGACGTGCGCGCGAAGGTGTACACAAATTGGAGATTGCAAGGGAACACCATTGCGCGAATCCGGAATGCTACGTGCTATATCGATACATGGGAGCTTCACGAAGCTGTCCTGTTATACACCGTTATGAAAGAAGGTATATGAAGCTGTTCTCCCAGGCAGATCAGCTGCGCCGAGACGGTCTAATGCGCACGCCGTGTCCCGTGGTCGTTGCTTAAGGCGGCTATTGCAGCTCGCGGACTCACGATTTCGTGAATGCGAGGAGAGCCGCGGAGCGGTCGTGACAAGTTTGGAGACGGGTGGCGAATGGCGAGTGGGATAAATGAGATGTCGGGAAAGGCGAGGGCAAGTGCGCGGTTGGGGTTCGATGTGTAGCGGATGACCCAGGTGATCATTGAAGCGGATGGGATTAATGCCGTCGTATGAAGACAGTTCTAATGTGAATGCGATGTCGTTGCAATATTCCAGCTCTGAGTCCATGATTAATAGTATGCCCAAGCATGAATATTAGAGCCCGTGTTCAGCCTCGTTTTCACGAGCCCTCTGACCAGGCTGGCATCATATCCGCACACACAGGAACTCCGGAATGCGCAATGATTGAGTTCAAAACTACAGTACCTCGCATCTGCAAAAGCAACACACCTCCGCGTCTCGAAGGGGCGAGAGAAGTCCATGAGTGTCGGCCGAGCGGCTGATGCGGTGGTCATGTGGCGCTGGATACAGTAAGATATGTTGCGGACGCTGATATGGCGCACCCTCCAGGTCGCAAACGGCGCGTCCGAGTCATACTTTGAGCGCTTGAGCGCCGCATATCCCTGTATGAATCAGCATTTAAACTTGAAGGCGGCGAGGCTGACATATCATGGCTACAGTTGCTTCGGTGAGGGTCTCGGGGGCGATTTGCGACATCGCACGCACTCTTTCACGAAGATTAGGCGGCTGCGAAAGGGTCAGCGGACCTTCGCATGCTGTGTTCCATGTCTCAGAGATAACTCTTGTGGACAGCGGACAGCTAGCTGTCTTCCAGTGTCCAAGTTGACGTCCCCGCGTTTTCCAGCCCCGATAAGCAAGAAGATACCTAGGCAGTGGCCGTTGAAGGGCATCACTATCAGCTATAGACTATCGAGACCTGGTAGATGCGATCAGAAGGGGGACCCGAAGAGTTCGCACCGACGTCGGGTCGGCCGTACTCGGTGCGGGATCCGGATGAACGGCGCGACATTCGCTCTGTAAGTTTGAAACACTGTTTGATCCTTGCATTACGGTTCCCGTCCGCGTCCGCCGCCGACTTCCTCGCACCTAGGCCTGGTAGGGCTTATCTTAGAGTGCAGAGTTCAGGAAGAAGGCAGGCAAGGTTCACTATCAGGTCCATCGATAACACAGGAAGGAGGGGGAGAGGAAGGGGGAATGGATTTGCAGACACACCCACGAAAGGGCTGCTGTGCGTTTCCTGTTTGAAATGGTCCGCTGGCAATATGATAGCCATAGTACTCGAGAAGGGCGTGCACTATCTTTATCCCACAATTGTGTCCAAATACGCACCCATTTCTTGCACACCGCCAGCATTGCACACCCCTCCTGACTCCCATACTCACCCGCCGTTTCGGCCGTGCGCAATATGGCAGAGAAGCCTGCCGTGGGTATTCTTCCCTTGGCTGATGCGCACCGGTACGGTGGATGCGATGAATGGGCATTTGAAAGGGCGAGAGGTGAGAGGTGGACACTCGACTTCCATTACATGGACGATGTGTGGTCCAGGGTGCCGCAAGGAGGGCAGACAGGGGCGGCAATGATGCTCCATTGCCCTCTCCTTTTCCCGTGTCCGCATTATCAAAAACGAAACAGACGGAGGACGTTTCACGCGATAATAGAATGACGTTGGCTTCTTTGAAGAGCGCCTGACGTTCCGGAAGCCTCGCCTGATCAGGATCCAGGATCATCAAAATCAAACAAGGCAGAGCTAATTTCCGCCGCCACATTCTCCTCGTGTCTCGTGTCCGGACGAAATACGCTCTGCAGGCTATCCTTGTCCATCGCATATAAATGGTCCACTTCCCGGACATGCTCCCGCTACCTCCCCAGTCCGTCTCTCTTACCAAAGCCAGTCTCGTCCTACGTTCCAGCGCCTCGCATATAGCACGCTCCATAAAACGGCTCCCATAGCGTCCGCTGTCTGACGCACACCATTACACCGTTTGCCATATCCCGCCTAAGCCAGGACACCTAGACACCAAGACACCCCTCGCGATGACCTCAATGACCTGCGTCTACCCCGTGCCTGTGCCCCTGGCGCCACAACCATCACCGCCATCCCACTCGCGACCGCCACGTTCTTCTGTCTCGTTTGCGTCACCTGTACTCGGTATAGGTGCCGGCTCAGACGCGGCGAGCACCACCGCAGGTGCAGACGGCGGCTTTGCGTTCGCGCGTGTCCAGGGCGAGATATGTCTCGTACAAAGTACGTCTGTCCGGTTGCCCAACATCCATGACGTAGCCCCTGACTGTATCACCACGCGTCTGCAGTATCTCGACCCCCCGCTGCATCATCATCCAAATCCACCAGCTCCTACCCACCACCACAATCACAATCGCACCCACACCCACAGCACCTCTCTTCGCCCCTCACACCCACACCCGCCTCCGCACCCCCAATCGACCTCTCCGTCTTCCGCCACGAATTCGTCTCCATCTTCCGCTACTCGCACCGCGTGCGCGTGCCCGCGCGTGACCTGCGCGTCCTCGAGCTGCTCGACGACCCCGGCTGCCTGCGCCACGAGGAAGACAGCGGGACCGTGTTCCTCGCCAAGGACCTCGCGCTCCGCCTCCGCCGCATGGCCGACGCGAGCGCCGCGCTCAAAGCCGGATTTGGACGGCCCGGGTATGGGCAACGGCGGCGGAGCTGAACGCGCTTGGTTATGGCCAGCAACTTGCATCTGTGACTGCGCGGAGCGCTCCCAAACTCGGCGGCTCGCCCGGACGCGCGCGCGGATCCAATGGACCGTGGCCATGACTAAGGCCAAGGCCAAGGTCGCCGTTATGGCCCGCGGTTGAGCCCACGCTCACGGATTCTCTCTGATTGTGATGAGGGTACAGATGCTTCCTTTTGACGACGTCGACGCAGTCCTGCGTACATGCCCGCGTGCCCCCCCTCACCGCCTTTACATCCTCCACTCATCCTTACTTACTTCAAGTTTTATGCTCACATAGACCCCCATCCACTGTCCCCGTTCCCCCTGCCAGCCCCCCACCAGCAAGCTCATCCAACCCGCCACTCACACCACCCCCATCAACACATTCTCCCTTGCAAACATCTGCACTATTTAGATCACCCGTGTCTCTTTCCCGTTTGTTACGGCTGTAGCGCTATTATGGTACCCTTGTACGATTATAATCCGGGCGTGATCGCTCTCCTTTCCTTTTCCTCTTCCCTTTCATGTGGCTTTTGATATTCAGGCGCAGCCTGCTGGGCACCAAGCAAGTAATACAGACTACAGTTCCCATCTATGCCAACCGTGCTTGCGAGCTGCTTACAATGCCCCCAATTACAGAGCACACTTGACGTAGGATTGAGTTGTACATTCCGCAACAGCAAAGCTGGGAAGCACGGCACGCACAAATGGCTCACCTGCGACGCACCCACATGGTACTACGAGTCCAGGTGACACCCGGGCGAGTTCTCGGTATCAGAAGATCTACTATGAAAAAGTAGCGATTGCATTGCAGTAGATTTGCAGTAATACATACATACTTGTAGCAGGGCCCCGGAAGCTCCCCTAAAGGTTTGTCCGTGGAAATATATTTTAGTTACCATATAAGGAAGGAAGGTTTGTCCGTGTTATCATATATTTTTCGTCAAAGTGACCCAATGTTTGTCCGCTTTAATATATTCCCACGCCCTTAGGGGGTCTATCTTTGTCTGAGATAATATATATGTTCTCAATACCGACTCGCTTGAAGCTTGCTTGAAGCGTAACAGCAAACTGACATGAATGCCATTCGAACAATACCACTTCCTCCCGGGTAACTCTGTTCGTCGCCTACAGAATGACAGCCGCCCCGTTACTCGTTGTGTGCTCAAGTTTTCTCGGCTGCTTTATGCGGACTCCGAGATTCATACAAATGTCCATGCGAATACTGCACTATATCATCTCGGGCCTAACCTATTCATCGACAAGGATCTTGATGAGCTAGCACTTAGGACCCGGTGATGCTGCTGGGTATTGAGAGCTTCTAACGCAGCCAGAAGTTGTAGACGGTTGTACGGCAACTAGACATGTGCATAATGATGATATCACTATCAGAGGTTGGTCCGAGTGGATATATTTTGGCCGTCATGTTTGTCCGACATAATATACAACCGTGAGAACTTTATCATATGTTGGTCCGACTTAATATACAATCGTGGGAATTTGTAATATATTTTCGGGTCGATTTGGCCATTTTGCCCGGACAAACCTTTGGGGGAGCTTCCGGGGCCCTCTTGTAGCGCATCCCGCACGACAGACGCCGCGCCGCGGGGTGCACCGGCGTTCTGGTGAAAGCAAAGGCTATTAATAAAAGCATACGAGGAAAAGAGTACGAATTCAAATCCACTTACTTTGTAAATCTCGTTGCGCCTAGAGCGCTTAACTTCACGGGGAGTAAAGTTTTGGGGACCGCTCGGGTCAGTCTGGGCTCCGTACGTGTGCTGCGTGTGTATATTGTAAGCCTACTTACTGTATACCAGTCAGACGAACGGAGAAGTGAATGGAACGGCCGTTGAGGGACGGATAGAGTGTGTGCGGGTACCCTTATGTTCGTTGGTGTGCGGCTAGGACAGGTCTTGAATGTCTAACTAAATCACTAGAGTGTCCCCAGCTCGGTATGAGGTCCACGTCCATGCTGCGTGCGTAAACAGCGGGGCTGAAAGCCAGCGACGCAGAAGCCGCCGGCGGGACATAACCGGTCAGTAAAGACTGTCAGCAGACATGTAAAGGACACTCGACGGGAAAACAGGCAAGAAAACAGTCCGTGGAGCGGCGCATGTACTGATGACAGCGAAGCTGGCGACCGAAAGGGCTCTGGGAAGCTCTTGAATGACCGAAGACGTCAAGCACATGCAGCCAGGCCGGCGGCACAAGCACGCGACGCGGCGTCAGGCTCCGAGCTTTTCACGAGGCGTTGGGCACGCGGCTGCGGCCAGCACGAGGATAGTAGCATGGTCTATGTAGTACAGTAGGACCCCCGAATATCCCGGTATAGGCCTGGTCCCAAATCTCGCTGGCCGATCCGGACATTTACCCCTATTCAGGGTCGCCAATCCGGACAGAGCGACAGGCCTCTGGGAGTAGGTGGTAAAAAAAATCCGGACAGAGCGACAGGCCTCTTGGGATAGGGGTTATTACAATCCGGACATGGAAACAGGCATCGTCAGCGTCGTTAATATTGGCCCATACACCAATTGTCTGTAATAAGTCTTAACAGTCGGGGCAGTCTGCAAGCACTAGCAATGATAGAGTCCCCTATGAAACCTTGTGTTATTATGATGGGACTAAAAAGAAATTGAGTGTTGCCAGAGGTGAGGCAGCGAGAAGGAGTCGCTCTACTACTTGTCAACAAATATCAGCTTAAGCCAGAGCAAGCGTCTGTAATGTGGTGGGGGTGGCACTGCTTTCGTCCCCGTTGTGGTGTATCTAGTAATATAGCTGAGCTGGGAACGCGCGAACCGTACAACCGTAGCTTAGCGGTTACAGCGGCTATCTTGTTTTGCGTCACCGCCGGTTCGAATCTTCGCCCCGCCAATAATGCATACTTGGTTATACGTGAAGAAGAGCGCCTCACTTCGAAGTCCACCACAAGTATGGTTATTCAGTAACTAGGAAAAGATCCATATGCCACTAATTATAAAGATATGACTTGAAAATACTTCCTCTACAAGAACAGTGGCTGAAGTCCGGACAGGGTTACAGGCCTTTATGAGTGCGGACTACGCACCAGGGCATCGAGGCTGGTCACAGTCCGGACATGGGACCAGGCATGATATCCTATGTCCGATCCGAATCCGGACCCAGGACTAGCCCCTATCTACTGTTTGCTCAGACCTCGCTGGCGAGTCCGGACTTTGGACCAGGCATTTTTCCCCATTAGGAAGGTCTATCCGGACTTTGGACCAGGCCTCTTGTCCCAAATAGGAAGGTGCTATCCGGACTTTGGACCAGGCCTATACCGGGATATTCGGGGGTCCTAGTACAGTGAAGAGCGCTCGCTTTTTGCTTCCGCATTTCGGTGTCCATTCTCCTCTGTCGATAGAGTTCGGAGGGTCGCCGCAGATCGTCGTCCTCGTTTCAATGGGTTATTCTAGTGTGAAAACGCGCTGCCGGGAGGTGAATTCGCCGTGTCTAGACTTGGAGAGACAAGAAGCCCGCATAGACGTGTGCGGGTGGTCGCCGATCGCAAGTTTTGCGGTCGAAGATGCATATAGACGCCAGATGTAATGCGTGAGCAGCGATTGGCCTGTCAGCCCGTGCTCATGCATACAGTTGACTGCAAAGTTGACGCGGGATCTCGGGGGGGTATCACCGTCTGACTTCTGCAATCTTTGATTCGTATGGAAGGGTCTTGACGGATCTTATGGTGGAAGGGCGAGGCACTCGAAGACATCCTAAGGTGATCTGCTCAAAGATGAGGAGAAGAAGGCAAGATGCGGATGGGACGCAGAATGCAGGCCCGGGTGTTTCCGCTCACCGCCTCGGTCCGCTCCACCGGATTGCAAATTAGCGCTCAGCGCCGCCTTCGGCGTTTTCCGGCTCTCGATGATGATGTTTTCAAGGCGTGAGGGGTTCTCGCTGCTCTTGCGCGAGTGGTTCTCATCAACATCGATCTTCTTTGTCTCTCGAGACAATCATGGACCGTCTAGCCTGCGTGCATCCCCGACCACGCGATCAAATACAAATTCTGATCAACCTCGGCGAAACGGACGGGTGCAGCCGGGATCTTCTGCCTACGGCTTCCAAGTATTCGATCGCTCGACGTTCCCTAACGGTGTCAAGAAACTCCGAACTTATCTTCATGGCTTGCTTGAGGCCTGCGGCTGGGCAACGAGACGTCAACGCTCTTCGAGTTGCCTCATGCCGTTTCTCCACCGTGGCGTGACCTATGATTTGAATATTCTTGCCCCATTTCCCTGCCGGAAGCACCTGCCGTAGCGTATGAGTCATACCGCGCCCTGATCTCGGATGTCAACTGTAAACTTTCTCTCTCCCATCTGTTTACACAACCATTATGACCGAAGACACTCGTTCCCGGCCAGTTGTCGCAGAGGCCATTGCCCAAGAAGGTGTTCAAACCGCCGAGAAAGGTGTAGCGGACCGTAGACCGGCAATTCTGTCTTTAGGAGAAGATGTTTATCCCGAAGGCGGATGGCGGGCCTGGTGCACCGTGCTAGGCGCGTGAGTGGCGTTTCTGCATTGTTTGTTTGGAACATGGCTCTTACAGTTTTACGTGCGCAACTATGCTTGACATATAGGCTACTTGCACAGTTGTGCAGTTATGGGTAAGACTGCGTTCTGTCGTAGGGATTTTTCTTTGATAAATGCGTATAACAGCTATACCGTATCATTTGGAGTTTATCAAGGTAAGACTATGTTTATTGTCCGGTTGGTTTAGTATCAAATATTGGTACGTGCAGAGTATTATACAACGGATTACCTCAAGAACGAGCCAGCTTCTGCAATTTCGTAAGTAAGGAGAACTGTTTTCTTCAAGGCTGGGTTTGACACATTACTTCAGATGGATCGGTAGCGTCAATGCGTTCCTCTTTGAAGCTTCTGGCATCGTCGCCGGACGGCTTTATGATCGAGGATACTTGTGAGTAGCCTTGCTATGCTACCGGCAAAGGGCTGAAGAGTCGTCTCCCACAGCTACCATCTCGTCTACGGAGGATGCCTGATGCAATCACTCTCGCTCTTCATGCTTTCTTTAGCAAAGCCCGACCAGTATTACCAGGTCAGTGTCTCTGAACGTTGGGTCCGCGTATCAGCATTGATGTCAACTTTGCGCACACAGATCTTTCTCGCGCAGGGAGTAGCCTCAGGCATATCCTCCGGCGTCCTTTTTATACCCACGATGGCCATCGCCTCCCAGTACTTCTTCAAGCGTCGCGCTCTGATGATGACCCTCGTCTCGTGCGGGGCGGCCCTCGGATCAATCGTCTTCCCAATCCTACTAAACAATATGCTAAATGGACCAAACGGTGGCTTCGGATTCGCAACGAGCGTTCGAGCGAGTGCAGCTGTCGTTGCGGGGTTCTTGTTCATCGCGTGTTGCCTCATGCGTACACGTGCCGAATATTCTGAGCCTGCGACGAGCTCCAACTATGGGAAGACTACAAAGCGATGTTTCAAGGATGTTGCGTATATGCTAGGAATATCCGGGTACGTCAATTGGTCCTCCCACTTGGATACAGGCCGGGAATGGGAAGGAGATGAATAGCTGATGATCACTCCTGCAGCACAATGATTTTCGGAGTAGTGATGTACTATCCGATCTTCTACCTCCAGCTCGACGCCGTCTCGCACAACATCGACTCGACGTTCTCCTTCTGTTCAGTAAGCTGATTGTCTTACCATCGATGTCATCTGGCATGCCTTTATTTCCTCTACCAGCTCGTCATCATGAATGCCTCAAGCTTCGCGGGCCAGCTGGTTGCGGGTTTTCTAGCCCATCCTATGGGGACGCTGAACGTATTGATCGCTTCCATGATCGGAGGAAGCGCAACTATCTTTGGCATGATGGGTTTAACCATGATTCCAGGTGTAGCTGTCTTCGCAGTGGTGTATGGCGTCTTCTTCGGCATTTGTGAGTTTGTGTTACCACTGAAGTCCGTCATCTTGGTTTATCAATGCATGCTTCGCGTTGATTTGGTGGCATGTAGTCATTGCTATGTGGTCGCCATCGATGGCGGCGCTTACACCTGATCACGATGAACTTGGGTGAGTGCTCCGAGGTTTACTGTGCAACGTACCACTATCTGACCATGGATATTGAGTGTGCGAATGGGTATGGGCTGTGCCGGGATGGGTAAGTCACCTAGTGACAATAATACGGCGCATGAGCTAACATCATGCTACATAGCCATAGGTGCTCTTGTTGGTAAGAGAGTTGTAGTTTAGACGGTTGGAAGGTGTGACCTAATTTCTCGTAGGTACACCGATTTCGGGTGCACTCCTAGGTAGTAGTTATGCTTGGTGGAAGCCGGGATTATTCAATGGGGTGAGTGCCTGCATGAAACAAACTGTCGGAATCACTTACGGTAGTATAGGCGATGGGACTTGTCGCGTGCGCTCTTGTCATTGGCATGCGGCTCACTACTGGAAGACCACACCTCAGGGGTTTACCCTCCGACTCATAACCCCGCGACGTAGTTTCGAGCAAATTGTGGTTGTACACGTAGATACTATTGCAAGGACTGACAAATGTCTTAATTATGTTCGAATACCACTGGTGCTCTTTCAATCGAATCTCATTCCAGGTCCGCTGAAACGCGAACGCACCCAGAAACCCCAAATACTGTGTCAACTCTCCCTCACTGCGTCTACTGCTCTCCCAGCCTCTTGCCCCTCCCCCACCTATAGCTATCCCCTTCCCCGCCCGGCGCAAACACTGTAACCCCTCGCCCGACCTTCGACACCCGCGGCCTCGCCTTATCCCCGAACCACTCCCTCACCCTCCCAGGCGCATGCGCCGCCGCCCCCGCGAGCACACCCCGCTCCACACCGCCTGCGCCCGAGCAACCCCACACGAGCCACCACCACAGGTGCCCGACGACCATGCCGCTTGCGCCGAGCGCGGCGTAGGCGCGCCCGCCGACGAGGATGTCGAGCGCGAGGAGGACGTAGGGGTAATAGTTCGTGCGGAAGGTGACGAGCCCGAAGAGGGAGGTCTGGGCGGAGGAAGGGGCGAATGTGCAGTCGAGGTAGACTAGGGCGTGGACGAGGGCGTGTTCGTGGATGTGGGGGTTGAGGGGGAGGTTGATGATCTGGGGGAGGGGTCAGTGGGCTTGTGGTTCGGCTGGAGACGGGAAGCGGATGGGAGAGGATACGCACTAGGATAGACGCGCAAACGAACAGCAGCTGCCACGAGTAGTCGGAGGAGCGACGGTCATATTGGTTCGTCTCAAGAGAGAGCGAGTGGTGACTACAGGTTAGACCAATTAGGGCACCGTTAGGTTTGACGGATCAGTGCACCTACTAAAGCATGAAGAGCTCAAAGATAAGAGGCAGACCGCCAGCTGCCGTCGTGTCCTTGACTGAGCTCAACAAACATTGGAGCAACGGAACGACTCACGTCCATAGAAGAAGGTCGTAAATGGTCGCCAGACCTTCCCATTGTCATCCTCAGCTCGTTACGACGTAGAAAGTTCAACAGCGACTCACCTCAAGAGCCTGCGCGGCCTTCCGTGAGAACACAATCCTCCAGGGAGAGACAACGCCGAGAAGAACCGCGAGACTCGTAACGCAGTACGACGCGCATAAGAAACGCGTCACCGGCGGGATACGCCGTATCTCTTCTGCGATTGTCCTAGGCATGGTCAACGGTGGGCGACGAGAACGAGGAGAAGCAGACTCTGCACAGCGACACAGACGCCCTCGGCTCTTATAATAGAAACATGCTGTATATGTAGCGCCCAGCGGGAAGTGGGTCAGCTTCCCATGACATAGGAACGGGATCACCTCGAGTCACTGCCAAGCGGCCACTACCTTCGCGTCCGATGGTTGTTGGACACGGTGATGATGGGGTTTCTGTGCATGCGCGTGGTACCGGAACTTAAAGCAACAAAGCCAGGAGGTAAGTTGCTTCCAGTTTTCTCTCCCGTCGAGCCATGATGGAGAAATTGCCTCACGAACAGAAAGCAGCTGACGAACGATCCGAGAGGTGTCATGAAAAGTAGAAAGACAAGAAACATCAAGGAGTACAGCTCCCGAAGTCAAAGCAGTATAGCCGAAGTTTGACCTGGTTTGATGACGTTTTCATGCTGACGAGCCCGAGATAAGCCCCTATTCTCGCACTTCAGTCCCCCCCTTTTACAAATCTTTAAGGCTTTTTATACTTGCAAATTAATATGTCTCAATGGCCCACTCCTATGGTGCACCGGGCATTCTATGGTAGATGACGTCCTTAGTGGTGGTGAATACCACAAAATGTGGGCCATGTAGCGGCATGTTACCATGGGTGCACTCAAGAACTCACCATGGTAGAGTGCCATAGCAGTGGTACTGTGCCTGGTTGGGGTAGTCTTTATGACCCATGGTGCTTAGTACAGGGTGGCAGGAGTCCTTGTGGTGGTGAACTTAGCAGGTGAGGAGATACCCTTATATAGACATAGCAGCCAAATTTCTATGACCTTTGCAAAGCAAATCAAATATCAAATACCGAAGTTTTGTACCCACCACCCACACAAGGGGAACATATAAGCACCAGATGGGGCAAGTGTCCCACCCATTTGCTTACGAATTTGTGCTACATTTGGACGATGCCT